CCTTTGTCAGTGTTAGGGCAGTTGGAAGGAAAATATATATACATATATACACACACATATACATAGAGGGCACAGGATGAGTTGAATATGAAAGGATGATATGTAAAAAAATAAAATTAAGAGGTGAGAGAAAATCATATTGGGAGGAGGAGAAAGGAGAAGTAGAATGGGGTAAATTTTCTCACATAAAAGAGGCAAGAAAAATCTTGAAGAGGGGGGAGGTAAGATTTGGCTTAAGGAGGGAATAGCATACACATTCAATTGGGTATGGAAATCTATCTTACCCTTCAGGAAAATAGGGGGAAAGGGGATGGGGGGTGGGAGGAATGATAGAAGGGAGGGCAGATTGGGGGAGGGGAGAATCAGAGGCTAACACTTTTGAGGAAAGACAGGGTCAAAGGAGAGAATAGAGTAAATGGGAGAGCAAGATAGGATGGAAGGAATTATAGTTAGTCTTTCACAACAAGACTATTTTGAAAGTGTTTTGCATGACTACACATGTATAACCTATATCGAATTGCTTGCCTTGTCAATAAGGGTGGGTGGGGAGGGAGGAAGGGAGAGAATTTGGAACTCAAAGTTTTAAAAATGAATGCTAAAAATTGTTATAACATGCAACTGGGAAATAAGATACACAGGCAAAGGGGTATAGAAATCTATCTTATCCTACAGGAAAATAGAAGGGGAAGGGGATAAAAGAAGGGGGGGGTGAAAGGGAGGGCAGATTGTGGGAAGGGGTATTCAGAATGCACGGTGTCTTGGGATGGGGGGGAGGGAGAGATGGAGAGAAAATTTGGAACCCAAATCTTTGGAAGTGAATGTTGAAAACTAAAAATTAATTAATTAATTAATTAAAAAAACCCTTACCCTTATTTATCTTACCTGCACATAATTGTGGTAAAGATGAAATTAGATAGTGTATATATTACTCTTATTACTTTATAAATTAAAACCTATGTATGTGTATAGCTGGACTGTGAAGATAGATAACATTACCCTTGAATTCATTCAACTTAATCTCACCTGTTTCAGATTCCATGGGTCCATTTCCTGAAATTGTGACTATATAAAGAATGCTTCCTTGAAGCTGTTCCAGTGGCAGATAAGGTCACCTCCTCAGTCACCTGACAGATGGATACAAGCTCTCCTGTGTTGGGTGAATGTTATCTGCCTGAATTGGTGAAAGATTAATAGAGTTCAATTCTGAGAACTAGGGCCTGATTTCATGAGAAGACTGTTGAAAAAGTTTTGGTATATAAGCCTCACTCTCTGCAACAGCTATTCCTGTCTGGGTTCCAGAGTCTGGTTCTAAGAGAAGGCCCAGAATTTAAAAAATAAAATAGGGGTGGTCACTTAAAGGGGAACAGTTGGCAGTATGTCCACAAGCGTAGATGTTACAAGCACAAGGTTTTGCCTGTTTCCCTCTCCCTAGTCTGACAATTGGTCTACCCTGTGGTAGAATTTGGTTTGGCTTTTTCATTTGTGGCCATTTTTTGAGTGGGTAGAAATGTGGCTAACCCTCAGAGTCATGACTTGATTGCTTCTCCAGTCCAAATTCTCCTTCTTCACTTTGAATTTCTGATCCCCAGCTAATTTCCTTCACCTAGGGCAACCATCCCAAGCACTTCCCCAGAGTTCTCAGAAATCCACCACACTTAAAACTTTAGGCTTGGCACACAGAACAGAGGGATGGAATCACAGATGGGCTAGGTTGGCTGCTTAGTGGATATTTGTTTTTTTTTTTCCCCATGCTTGTCAGTTCCCAATAGTGGGAGATGGTGATTAAAAAACTGGGATCCTAGACAATGGGGATGAGTCAGAACTTCATAGCCACTGTAGTCTGAAATTCTTTCCATTAGGATGTGCTAAGAACTGTGATTGGCCATGACTATGATATAAAAAGAATCCTTCTTTCATGTTTATAGCATCCAGAGTCAGAAGGAACCTTAACTTTAGAGGATGGCTAGTACAACCCTGTTTTTGTAAATGGGGAAACTGGGCCTAAAAGGTGAAATGATTAGCCCGCTGTCAGACAGGAAGTAGAATTTGACTCCAGGATTCAAGACCAGGTCTTGATTCAAAATCCAGTGTACACTTTACTACATTACACTGCCTTACCAAAGAGTATGCGATTACATCTTCTCAGAATAGGATCACAGAGTTAGAGCTGGAGGGACCAAAAAAGTCATTTAAGTCCAATTTGCTTATTTCATAGATGAGGAACTTGAGGTCAATAATTTTGAACATTAGAGAACTGACCAATAAATGTGATGCTTTTAGTGATATTATATATGTCAATACATCAATTGTATTTTTAATCATTTGACACATGTGCATTATGTGTGCATTATCTTCCAGGCTGAAACTACTCCATTTGCTTCCTTTCAGTTGGTCAAATTCTCTCATAATTGTAGAAGTTGTACCCCAAGTGGGACAAAATTTCCATGAAATATGTACAAGTCATTCATTAATAAGACTACCCTGCCTGTTTCATTTTCTAAGTCATTTTTTCATTTGTCATTATTAAGAACTTCATATTCAGAGAAGAAACTTCTGAAATCTGAATGAGACAGATTATTTAGGGAGAAAATCTGAAGTTGGAAATTTGGTTAACATGTAAAATTCATTTCCTCCTTTTACTTTATCTTTAACTTTTCTTGCTCATAAATGAATCTGATCCTCACTATAGCCCTGTGAGACAAGGAAGTAAGTTATCACTGTTGATAGTATTGGGTTTAGACCTTAGAAATCATCTAGGTCATTTTAAAAAGGGGGAAACAGTGTCAGAGGAGTTAAATCCACTTAATATCACATAAAGAAATAGAGATGGGAATCAAATTTGTGTCTTTTCATGTAGTTTTCCACCACACCTCTTGTAGTACATATCACTAGATATTTGAAAACTATTTAGATCTCCCAAGATAAAAAAGTCCTAAATAAAGCTCCATGATTTAAGTTGCTTAGCCATTCAGCTTTCTTACTTGCAAAATGACAGCAATAATAATCAATATTCTGTCTACCACACAGGTAGTGGGAATAGGATGAGGCTGGGTATCTGGGAGTACTTTTAAAAAAATAGAGTGTAATGTTTTATGTGAAGACCTGTTATTTTTAAAGCTCTATCAGCCTAAAATCATCCCAAATTGTTTGTTCTTAAAAGTCATGTTGCATACAACTAATCAATTTGAAAACTGATTGTAGGTATATATATATAAGGTAAGGTATAGATAGAATGGACCAAATTTAATGACCATATTAAAATAATTATAATTTTATTAAAATCAGAACAGATTGTTACTTTAATCTTATATTTCATCATTATTTCTGATAGAGCTGTATTTTTAAAGACTCTTTTCTTCCTCTTTCTAGTATATGACTTGAGGCTAAACACATGCCTTTTTTTCTAGTTTTGCCTCTGGCATAGACACACATAGACAAGTTTAGAGGGGTTTCTATAAGGTGCACCTTTATCAGTCTCAACAGTTTATTGGCAGTTTTATCAGAATAGTAACAGAGAAAACTGGTAGTGACTGTCAATAAAAGAAAAGTGACAGTGTTATGTTCTACTGGTAACAGAAGCAACTCAAGTTCAGAGAAGTAACAGCACAGTCATCCTACTCTTAACATGTGTACTTGGCAACTGAGTAGCTATAGAATGTTGTGAATAATGAAATGTGGGTGATTATTGGAATGTAGATAAAGAGCATCACTGGCCATGTTCCATGAGGGGATATGGGAATGAAGTTTGAGGAGTGACCAGAAACATATTCTAGCAGCACCTATACCTAAACGTGCAGCTTTTACATTCAAAAAGGGCCTTTCTGATTAGTTATCTGGCAAAATACTGCAGTAACAATAATCACTCCCTCTAACAATTCATATTTTTATAGTGCTTTAACATTCATAAAGCATTTTTATCACCACAACCCTGTGAGTGAGGTAGTGAAAGTATGATTATGCCCATTTTACTGATTAGGAAAATAAGCACAGAGAGGTAAATTCAAGAGGTAAATGGGAAAGCCAGATATAGACCCCAGCTGGCTTGACACCATGGCTGCATTCTTTCAGCTACCCTATTCTGCCTGCTCCTAGAGTTGTTTGTGTAGTTGTACTTTATTACAGAAAGGGAAAATTGGAGAATATCACCAAAAAGATGGACTTGGTATGAAATCATGCAAATTTCCCCTAAAGATTCACAAGTAGGTTTTAAAAGAGGCAATTTGAGCCATTTCCAATTTAAGAAATTTCTTTTTAAAAAATTACCAATATTCCAGTTCCTAAAGCACTTGTTTAGCTAATGACTGAAATGACAAACACATGAAACACTCACTGACTCTGCCTACATTTTTATCACTTCCTTTATATAGGTAGAAAACAGTCTACGTTTAACAGATGTTATAAATGATCGATGTTTATTTTACAGCCATTGAGGCAGAAATGCAAATGGCCAAACAGATTAAGGCACAGAAGAATAAAGATAATGCAGCTTATAAAAAAAATGTTTACATAAGAACATTGTTTTTGTTTTAAAAGTATGCACTGACTGTACAAAGGCAGCATGAAGTCTATTTAAGGGTGTCCTTGGATATTGCATTTGTTCCATAATACAAGCCTGCAACAAATACGGAACTTAGAATTCCCTACATCTTACAGTCTAGTAGAAGATAAGAATTATTCTTAATAAAACTGTTACAAAATAGTGTAAAATCTTGAATTTTTACAACAGCTTTCTGCATAGTTCACATAAAAAATTTTTTTTTGTATTGGTCACGTCCTGTCTACCTGGAAAACATTTGAGATTTACATTTCTGTGCAAAGCAAGTGAAGGAAAAAACCATCAGCTTTAATTTTCATAATGTAATACTTCACTGAGCTTTTTGCAGTTAATATAGCAATCTGGATTTCTAATTGTCACTGTCTATACATATGTTCATATACTGTCTTTGATAAACTAGATTTTAATGAAATTTCATGTAATCTTCATTTTTTTACAGACTGGATAACTTAAAAATGATTCATTTATTGAAATCCAAGGAGAAATACTAATAATGATGATGATGATGATGATGATGATATATTGGTTTTCAGGCTTCAAATCCCCCAAGTTATTCACCCATAAAAAAAGTGTGACTCATTGACAGCTAGTCAACTTCATACATGATAGTACAATTGACCTATGGCATTTGTCTGAAGAATTAAACAGGTCTAAGTGGGAAGGAATTGCACACGTCACCTACTTCTATAAATGAACCCCGTTACAGCCCCTTCTGCTTTTCTTCAACTCATAGTGTGTCCCCCTTCCTCCTCTCATAATGTCCCATTTCTCTCTCTTTTCTTCTTTGATTCTCTTTAATTTGTAAAAAAAAAATTATTTTAGGTCTATAGAGTAATGCTTTTAACTTCATGGGAAGCTCAATCTCATTAATAGCAGGCTGCAGGGTAATTTCCTAAGTATTTAAAAAAAAATAACTTAAAGCTATGTTTACTATGAAATGTTAGGGAACTACCCATCAAGCAAACCACCAATAAATGAAATTAAGTGAGATTAACATTACATTCCATTGTAAGCAGGTCCTCCACCACCTTCTGGTACCACCCAGTTAATATTCTGACTTGGATCTTTAATATCACATGTTTTGCAATGGACACAGTTCTGAGAATTTATCTGTAATCGAAATCCAACACTCTTTTCCAAAGGAACAAATTCATAAACTCCTGCAAAGTAAAAATGTTATCTTAATTTAGCTATAATTTGGGGGGGATTATGAATGTTCATAATTCAAAATTATAACTTAGCTACCCTTCCATTCCTTTTCAGTAATAGCAGTTACAGAAATCTTTTAATTTTGTTTTCCAAATGTTCATTCATTCAAAATAACTGCTGTGATATAAACTGCTATAGATACAACTATGATGTGGCTAGCTAAATAATTAGGGACAAAGCTAGGCTGGCCTCACTAACTGGGGGAAGGTAAGTTCTGAAACAACTGTGGAGAGAAACTAAGTCAAATGGGAAATTCCTCATTTCTCAAGCTAGTTAAAGGAGATGATGATTGTTGGAGAGACACCTGGAACAAGTTTCAAGTTCAGGTGGAAGCTGGGCCACTCTTTTAAACCAGCAAGACTTTTCTGTGTATGCTTAGCAATATGAATATTATGGGAAAGAAGAAAAAATAAAAGTACTTGCCTGCAGGACAGAATCGTTGTTCTGGCCCACTATATATCACCAAATTCCTATCCACAGGTAAGCTGTCATCCTTCAGTGTTAAGTGTGGTGGCTGGTTCTCTTCATGATTAGTACCACTAAGAGCCACTGAGGAGAGGAGGTCAAAACTGATCTGTCCATCAGGTTTTGGGTACTCAATAGGTCTACAATCCTTAGCTGGCTTTAGTTGATCACAGTCAGCACCTAGAAGGATTTTGAATTAAGTGGTTAACAGAATACAAACTCTAGTACCACAAAGAATAAAAACAACAATCTTAGTGAACCTTCTACTAGTTATATGGAGAATGTAGCAAAAACTAACAAACATTTCTTCATTAAAAGATTGTTTCCCTCCTCACTGTTTTCCCTTTGAGAAAGTCAGTCAGTCTATGAGTATTTATTAAGTACCTACTACATGACAGGCCTGTGCTAAGTGCTGCGGATACAAAAAGAGGCAAAGAGGCAAAAGACAGTCTCTGCTCTCAAGCAGCTCACAATCTAATGGGAGAGACAACATGCAAACAACTATGTACAAATAAGCTATATTCATGATAAAATAAGAAAAAAACAACAGAGCGAAGGCATTTGAATTAAGAGAGATTGGGAAAGGTTTTCTGTAGAAGGTAGGATTTTAGCTGGGGCTTAAAGAAAGCCAGGGAAGCCAGAAGGTGGAGATGAGGAGGGAGAGTATTCCAGTATAGATGACTGGAGCTGAGGGATGGAGTATCTTGTTTAAAGAATAGCAAGGAGGTCAGTGTTACTGGATTGAAGGATACATGGGGGAGTTTAAAATATAAGAAGACTGGAAGGGTGCGATTGGGTAGGGGTGTGTCACTAGACTGAAGGATACATAGAGGAGCTTAAGGTATAAGAAAACTGCAAAGGTGGGGCTGGGTGAGGGGAAGTACCTCTTTGAAGTTTTAGGTTGGGGGCCTATAGCTCACCTCAGCCTCAACACCAGCCATTTCACAATGACCTGAACGATGAGTATGAAATCTTATGGCACATCTGGCCACATCTTCATACTGCTATCAACTCATCTTCCTCCTCCCAGCCAAACTCTAGGCATAGATGCATCTTTTTATGACAATAGAGAATGTCAAGAAAATCTTTTTCCATACCAAAGAAAAATGAATATTATCCTCAATCCTCTTAATCTACTAGTAAGTATAGTATAATTTCCTTCTAAAGACTTAATGCACTGAATATGAAGACTAAGATTTATAATAACATTATATAAATATCAGTATAAAAAATTCTCTCAATAGCCCACCTACTTATAGAAAGATGACCCTATCTGATGACCCTGTTTGATGACACAAAATTTGATATGATGGCCATATATTTATATTTTATATAGTCTGGGGAAATTAATATAATGCTCAGATTACCTTTATGTTTCAATGTCCATGGTTCCATTCCTCTCAATATCCAGTAAAACAATCCAGTGTAAATCATCCCTCCATACAAACCCAATGGTGAGTGGCAGGCAGGCCTGATGTTTCGAACAGCATAAAGTTCCTTCCACACCCATGATTTCTTCAAACTGTCCTCATACTCAGGCACATGGAGTCCTATTATTCAAAAGTTTCAGCTCAGATAATTTGTGTGAAAGTGCTTTGAAAAGTAGAAAGCCCTGTACCAAGTAGTACTACTAAGATCTGAAGTAATTTTAACCAACAGCAAGAGTCAAGTAAAAATGGCATGAAAAGTATCTTTCGTGTGTAAATATATGTAGCACATTTAAAAAATTTCAGAATTTTATATGTGAAAAATATTAACATCTTGTCATTTAAAGTCAATGAAAGGTTTTTTTTTGGGGAGAGCATGGAAAATTTTCCACCCATCAAGGATATTACAGATCTCTGAAATACTGATAAAATGAACATGAAAAGACAAAGTTACAAAATGTATTATGAATAGGGATGCTTTTATATGGTTTGAACCATCTTACTGTTTTAGTTTAACAATGAAGACTTAAATCATTCCTGAAACTAATCTGATATATAAACATGTTGCTGACATACATTCTATACCTCTTCTATAGACCGTGTTCTCTTGAGTTCTACATCGCAGCCTTTTACTACTACTTTTCCTTGCCTTGGACTCCATCCCCTTCTGTCAAGTTCATATTCTGACTCCAATTTGCTGTTACATCCCAGTTCTGGTCCTTTGTAAGATGCACCATGCACAATGGCATTTAATATTTAATAAGTATATGTGAAAGAGCAGAAGTGTGGCTCTGAATGTTCATATAGCATTTGCCTGGTAAAACTGACACGGCATGGAAAAACGTGTGGCCAAATGATGTGGAATTTCTTAACAGATACAGCTTTTTGGTTGTCTTTTTTATTTTTGTCACTGAACCTTTCTTTGACAACAGTGTTTACTGACTGCTTTCATTTGTAATTTCTGCTTCCTTTCTTCTCTTTATACTTTTCTTCCATTCTGCCTCCTTTTATTTCTCAGTTTTTATTGAACAGGTTGGATGCCAATGAGTAAACTCCTTTCCTATCTGCAAACGCTTTCCACTGCTCTCTGCACCAAAGTTATTTCTTCAACACCAGAAACTCCCCATCCCCTATCCCCCTATTCTGGGTACTTGAGAGGACCAGAAGGTCAGTTTCTGGACAAAAGTTTTGCTGTAAAACTTTTAAAATGGTTCTTCTTCTAGAGTAGGGATTCTTAACCTTTCTTGTGTCACAGACCCCTTTGGCAGTCTGGTGAAGCCTATGAATCCATTCTCAGAATGTTTTTAAATTCACAAAATACCTAATAGCACAAAAGACACATTCTATTGAATACAATTATCCATACACACACAAAACAACAAAAAAAAACACCAAAGGTAGATGTCTAGTCATCAGGAGAATCTGAAGTACAGAAAAAAACTCTTGCTCACATTCTTTTCATAGCCCTCTTGACACTCCACTTTCCTATTTTACAATGAATGATTCTACTCACTTGCACAACATGCTGCTAGCTTCTCTACCTCTTTTCTGTGATGAGCCTCCCTTGACTTCTTCAGTTCATGCTTATATTGTATCTTACCTGGATTACTTTAACCTTTTTTTTTTTGCCAGGTTCCCTAGTTCCAGGCTTTCCTAACTACCAGTGCCATTAGCTATTTTTAAAAAATTAAACTAATAAGAAAACACACACACAGATAAATAAAACCCTTGTAACAAATATGTATATGTAAACCATTCCTGTACCTTGTATCCATCACCTGCCTAGAGAAGTCAGAAAGTGGTAAAAGTCACTACCTCAAACTGCTATCAGGATGAAATTTGCCATCTCTAAACCTGAGCTAATTTTCTTTCTCCCTAAGCTTGGCCTTCCTTCTGACTTCACATGAGGTGTCAGTAATAGCACTCATCAAGTTTCAGATGTTTCTGACTCTTTTCTGTCTAATCTCCTATTCATCAGTTAGAATCCCTTTGATTCTTCCTCTGCCATCTGTCTCACATCTCTTCCTACTGCTCTCACAACTCTTACTGCTTCCCACTTGGATTGTTACAACAGTTTCTTAAAAGGTCCATCTAACCTCCACTCATCCCTACCCCATCCATCTTTTATACTGCTCCTCTTAATACTAATCTTCCTTATGTACAGATCTCTTCACGTCATTTCTGTGCTCAAAAATCTTCAGTGGCTCTCTATTTGCTCCCAAGGAACAAATCACAGAATCAAATTAAGTCAGAACTGGAAGGGACTTTAGAAATTACCCCCCTACCCCTCCCATTCTTCATACTGATGAAGAAACAGAGCTTTAAGTGGTTAGTTACACAGCAAGTGTCAGAATTCCAACTCCTTTGCCTGGCTTTTTAGACACTCCATCATCTATTACCCTGATGGTGGGAAAGATTGAAAGCAAAAGGAGAAGGGGACAGCAGAGGATGAGATGTATAGATAGTGTCATGGAAGTAATAAACATTAGCTTGGACAGACTCTGGGAGATAATGGAAGATAGAAGCGCTTGGAATGCTACAGTCCATGGGATCATGAAGAATCAGACATGACTGAATAACAAAAATAATCTGTTAACAACCTACTTTTCCAGCCTTATTACATATTATTTCCTACCACTAGAGAGCTCTATGGTCCTTGAAAACGCACTGTTTTCTCCTACTTTTGTTATGCCTAGAATGTCCTCTTCTCCCTCTTCTTTGCTTGCTAAATTTCTACCAAATTTTAAAAGCCTAATTCAAATGTCTGTCTCCTCCAGGAAACCTTATCTGGTCCATCCTGTTGTCACCCTTCAGATCTCCATGTCATCACTATGCATTATAGTTATAGGTATAATATATCCCTCTTTAACTATACTGTAAATTCCTCAAAGGAGGGTACCGTTTTTCTATAGACTGCGTATCTCCTTTAGAATCTAACATAGCCATCTGTATTCAGCTGGTGCATAATAAATGTTTCCTGAATGAAATGGATTCTTTCTGCATTTAAATCCCTATGACAGTCTACTAGTTACAGCCTACTAGTTCACTAAAGATTGGGTTCTAAGATCTTCACCTTGCATTTGAAAGCTCTTCAGTTCAAAGTTCCCTTTTGTCTGCTCATCTCATTTCTATTTTTAATCCTCAGTTAAAACAGTGCCTGAAAAGCGACTTTTCTCTCTTGCTTTCCTAGGAGTCTTTTCAGAATGATCAGAGAAGATGCATTCATCTTCAAGTCAGAACATGGAACTCTTATGATTATCTTTCCCATCTTTACCTGATTAGGTTCTTGCCTTTGTTTTCCATACCCATGCCTAAATCGTAGTTATGCACAAGTTATATGCAAGATGAATATGCCAGTTTTTAGTTAAACAGCATATCTTGTTATGTCTGTGTAACACATCTGTACTATCTTGGAATGCAAGCTCTAGAGGGTTTATTGTGTTCTAGGCACAATCACATATTATATATGTGATTTTTACAGAATGGTCTGACAAAGGTAGAACATAACTCAATCTCACTTTAGTTTTCTTCACATCTTAAATGACAAAAGCAAAAGATGTAAAAAAAAACCAACCCAACAACAAACCCTAGATATTTTAAAAAATTTGAATCTGAAGATTACATACATGAGTTTTTACCATAACATATCATCTTATGAGCATAGTTCATTGCTTATATATGAAATAGGTATGAAAATAATAAATTTATGTTAAAATTTTTAAAAGCCTGATTTAACTTAAATTTTTCATATAATTTATATATATATTTACATTATCTCCCAGGGAGCCAATGCTTCTAATGGAGTAAGTGATGGGTTTGCTCCATACATTAACTAGGAAGTTCTTACCCAGTGTTTCTGACTGGAGATTCTCACTGGTTAGTTTGCTGAAAATGGATTCTGCAGCCAAAATGCCACTTTTCATTGCAGTGTGGGTACCTTTGATCTTAGGAACATTCATAAAACCAGGACTACAACCAATTAGCACTCCACCAGGGAAGGTAAGTTTTGGTATAGACTGAGGAGAGAGAAGAGAGAGAGGCATAAAGATTGAGGTTCCAAGCGATATAAGTAACATTAAAAAAACCACACACATCTACCTAAATAAATAAATAAAATTTCAGCCTGTGTAGTTTGGATACTGAAAAATAATTTTCTTTTAGTAAATATATTATAATTAATACACTGAAAAGATTAAAAGGAGGAAAAAAGCAGAGTCAGATGAATAACTACTAAATAAAGAGACATGAACTTTGGTAGTCCTCAGAGAGAGGTTAAACTTTTACTTTGTTTTTTATTTCTTGAGTTCTAGAATAGGGAAATAGAGGTTTGCTTCAGGGTAGCCCCAAAAAGGAATAGTTAATAAAGAAGGTGGAATTCACAAGATCTAGAGTATATCACTGGACAACAGTTAAGTAATTATACTTATTTATAAGCACTCCAAGGATATAGTTAGTAACAATTTTGACTGATGTAAAACTGAAGAACTAGCTAAAAAAAGTGGATTCTCTTAGTACCATATTTTATTTTTTAAAATTACTGATTTATTTAAGATTTCAAAGTACCTTTTTCTCCTACCACACCACAGGCAAGGTGCAAATATTATTCCCATTTTACAGATGAGAAAACTGATAGGCTCAGAGCATTGGCTTTTCAAGGTCCCACAGCTAAAACGGGTCAGGCTAGGATTCAAACCCAGATCACTGTGCCTAGTAAGGTACTGGTGTGACGCCCTTGGGATACAAAATCAGGGATTCAAGGAGCACATTTACTCCCTGTCTTATTCCTCTCCATCTCTAGGAGAAGAATTTTTCCCAATATTTCCCTCCTATTCTTCAATCCATGAGGAAGTGAACATTTATGAATTGCCTACTATGTGCCAGGAGATGGGATACAAAGACAAAAGTAAAACAAAAGTCTTTGTTCTGAAGGACTTTATATTCTACTATAGGGAAAACAATCTGCACATATGTAAGGAAATAGAAAATACCTACAAAGCAATTTTGGGGAGGAAGCTAGGAAGCCCTCTTGTAGAAGGCTGCTCCCGAGGAAGGGGGAGTAAGAGGTACAAATCAGCTAGTCAGTCAGTCTGTCAGTCAGAGGTGAGGAAGGAGATGAAGTCTAGGCTGAGATAGGAGATGGAATATCACGTGTGAGACACAGCAAGGATGCCAGTGTGGCAGGGGTGAGTAAAGGAGAATCTGGAGAGTGATTATGAATGGTTTTAAATGCTAAAGTGAAGAATCTACATTTGATTCCAGCGGGAACAGGGAGCCCTCTGAAGCTTTTCAAGGAAGGGAATAACTTGGACCTGCACTTTAGGAATATTACTTATTTTGGCAACTATGTGGTAGAAAGATAAGAGAAGGGAAAAGACTTGAGGTATGGAAACCAATTAGGAGAATACTGCAGCAGACCAAGTTAGAAATGATGATGATGAAGACCTGAACTAGGATGGTGACTGCATGAGATGAAAGAAGGGAATGAAGGTGAGAGATGCTGTGCAAGGAGAACTGACATGACTTGGCAACTGAATGGATACATGGGACAAGGAAGAGTGAGGATGGCTCCAAGATAGTGAACCTCAGTGACTAAAAGAATAGAGGTGTCCTTGATAAAAACAAGGAAGTTTGGAAGAGGGATGGGTTGGGGGAAGGGAGAGAAGTTAATGGGTTCTGTTTTGTACATGTTGAGTTTAAGATGCCTATGCGACATCTAGTTTGAAAAGCCCAAAAGGCAGTTAGTGATATGTGTGTATATTTTGTGGGATGGGGGATGGGGGAGGGAGGGGAGAAGCTTCAAGGTCAAGAACTCTTGCACTGAATCTTCTTATTAGCAAAGTGGGGCAAGATGGGGAGTGAGAGTAGAATAGCATGAAGCCTTGTGATTCCTAGGGAAGCAGAAGTTCTTCAAGGGAGAGAACTACTATTCCAGGGACAGCAACAACATGGATAGCCATTTCTATAGGCAGTAATGACGACAACTCCAAAAGACTGAATCACTGTTAGAAAAGCAGTCACATATAAACATATAAAATCAGGGGTTCATAAGTTCAGATCATGTACTAGAAATCTCTTTTTAATGCTGCATAGCAGAATGTCATAAAAGGTAGGTACTTCTTCATATCTTATTTAAGAGAATTTAGTTACAAAGGCAACAAAAAAATCTCATTATAAGGTGCTCTCAAGGCAAGGGACCCAAAAAGAAAATACTGTTTTAAGGCTCTAGTGATAATGATGCAATAAAAGGGAAATGTTGGTTATCTGTGACCTTTATGGACATGAAATCATATATGTTTTACTTCACAATAATATTATAATACTTTCAAAGATAGATTTATAGTTACATATAATTAATAGATATAAACTGGCATATAGAATTTAGTATTGTAAATTATGGATTTTTGAAGTATTACTAAAATTTTTAAATTTCATTTTGAATTTCAAAATTCAAAATTATTTAAACATTTTTTATGAATTCTACCTATTTACTAAAGGATACAAGGTAGGCTACAGAGTTAAATGAGATATAAAAATAGAACTTAAGCTATCTAAAAGGAGCAAAAGGAGTAAATGTAAATAAAGTAAATATAGTAAGTAAATTCTTAACTGGTCTCAGTTTGCTCAAAGCTAAAGTAATAGAATTTTCATTGATAATTTGTCAGGATAGAAACTTTTTACTTCAACTAAATTCAAGAAAGAATTTATTGCATTAGGGCTTTGCATAAAGGAGAGTGGGCAAGAGTAGATCAATTATGGTTATACAAAATATAAAAGCAAAAGGCTGTAAAAATTACTTTTTAAAAGACAATTTGCCTTTTGGGAAGGCTGACACAGTATTTGATTTACAATTTAAGGATGCTAACAATTGTTACATCCTTTAAAATAACGACCAAGTAAGATAACATATTCTTAAACAATAGGTGGTTTGCAGAAATTCTATAATTTTTTTCTTCCATTTTATAATTCTTTTCATCTCAATTTTACGCCAGTTTCAATATTAAATTTATGATAACAGAGATATACAGTATACAGCAGAGAGGAAAAAAACAAGGAAAATAACTTTGTGCTAAGAAAAGGAAAGAATAAATATTACCTGAAGGCCACCTTCATTGAGAGCTCGGGCTCCATAGGCAATCCTTTTCCCACCTTCCAGGGTTGGCTGAATGCTAGGATGGTGTTTCCACCTCTGAAACTCTCTAAAAGGGCTTAGGTATGGATTTTGATAATCTAAACCAACCTTTAAAAAAAGTATTTTTATATTTTAAGTCAGGCAGACCCTATCAAATTAGCTTAAATTCTATATGATGTCAAGTTAACTAATATTTACTCATATCACCTGTGAAAGCATTTAACATCTTAATAACTGGCTATCTCAATTTAAGAGAATAAATAGCATGTGAAATCTGTGTAGGAAAGAAGACCAACAAACAATATAGTAACAGATTTTTTAAAAAATCAACAGACATTAAGAAATCAGAATAATTTAATAGTATTCTGGAAAGATGTGACATACCATGGTAGATTTAGCTATGGAATAGACCTTAGATATCTGTTCCTTTCACTGATAAGGAAATTGAGGCCAGAGAGGGTAACTGATTTGCCTAAGATTACACAATGAATAAGTAGCTGACCTAGGATTTGTCAAGCATACAGAAGGATCAAATCCACTTCTACTTTGTTTTGATTTCTGCAGATAATCTAATAGAGAATATTCTAGGTATGCCAGTCATAATTACATATGAGAATGTACTTAACACATTCTTATAAATAATGAACATTTTTTATTTCTCTAAGAGTGATATTGATGGAAGTGAAGTGTAAACTATTAGTTTTTAAAGTCTTTTATGTCCTCTTATTTCTTTAACAAAAAAGATGCTTTAAATGAAACAAGTATTGGGGAAAAGAAATAACTTACCACAAAACCAAGAGCTACCATTGGTTCACTCTCATTCAAATGGTAGAGGAAAGACCCTCCGTAAGTATGTCTATCCAAGGGCCAACCAACTGTGTGTTCTACTTTTCCTGGTTTCCAATTCTTTTTGTCAATAATCCATAACTGCAAATAAGACACAGACATATTTAATGTCTTTCTTTGTTTCTCAGCAGTGAAAATTCCTTGGAAAAATATATATATGGACCATATATAACCCAAATATATACATATATGTCTATGTGTGTGTTTGTATATCCCAATTAAAATTTAATAAAAAGGATCAGAATTTTAAAAGTTTTTTTCAGGTGCCAGTTAATTCCTAAGTATATCTATTATACACGTATAAGAAGGACAATACCATATTAGGCCAATTCAATGGTTCTTTAAATGGTTTATTTTCCTTTTAAGGTTTTAAGTTTTAGTTTTCAAGGTTAATTTTCTTCTTTTACTTAAGAAAGTTTCAATAAATGCTATATCTTTATAAGAATTTGTAAGCTTTCAAAACAACGAAAATTCCCAGTATGATGCTGGAATTAAAAAAGTACAAGATCCAAGGTCTAGTAAACGCATACTTCAGCAATTTTTAATATCATGTGGCAAAAAATCAGGAAATGAAAATATCCCAACGTTCTTTATTTTCTTTCACACTATGGAGTTAAGAGTATGAATGGATATGACAAATGGGGTTATTTCAAATGAAATCAAATAAATCAAAGTAAAAATATATATTCTGTAAAATTCAAGAAATTGAAGATTTAAAGGAGAAGATAAATTAAACAATGTCATGCAAGGCTGACTACCTAAAATACAAGCCTTATTTTAAGACATATTACTAACAGAGACACAGATTAAAATCTGTTACAAAATCAATTAAAGATTAATTAAAAAGAAAAAGCTCTGAATAACCAGTACAGTTCAAGTCTTAGTCATTTAATTCATACAACATTTGATAAACACTAAATATCAATATAATAAAATGACCTGGACCATCTCTGCCGTAATGAGATTTGAACTGTAAATACTTTAAAGCAGATTACAAAATATTTCAAAGGCTCTTTACTACCTTTACAATAAAATAATTCAATTCAATTTAAAAAAATGTATGTCTATTTGCCATGAAAAATGGCTGTGTAATAATAACAACTGACTTAAACTTTACCTTTCAACTACTAAAATTTCTAAAATGACAAAATGTTACCTCCTTTAGCCCAATACCATAGGTCTGGGGTTCACAATTGGTCCTCAAATTAAACTTCTTATACAGCTGCTTGGCAAGATGTCCGTGACAACCTTCGCTAAAAATGGTCACTTTGGCATGTAGCTCTAGTCCTCTTTCAAATGTGTCCTGTAAAAGCACAGCATGCTATAATCAGCATTGCCTCCAACTATATGCTACAATGCAGACTTGTTCTCTGGGTGCATGAGGTTATGGCTATATACCTATCCTCAAAAGATCTCATTTCATTGGTCCACACTCTAGGAGGCTGTTTTATGAACTGCTGTGACCAAGAAAATCCATCATCTGGTGGTCACTGCCCTGATGATGAGCCTTTCTAAATTTAGCTATGCTGCTTGTCAGCTGACAATCCATCTACATGGCTCTTATCTGAAGAAGGCTTTTCTAGCTTGCTAGGACTTTTACTAGCAGGGCCTTTGAGAACCCATGCTAAACCTTAATAACATGAAGCATCAGAGTAGGGTCAAAGAAAAAATGTCAAATTAGGGCTATTCAAAATTTCAGATTATGAAGCTCAAATGACCAAGATTCTACTTATACCACATTCTTTTTGGATTAAAAAATGAAAAAAGTAAAAAAAATTATCAACAAATAAAGGTATGAGGAAGATAGCACGTGTACCCCAGAGCAAGACAATAACGTAAACCTCACTTCATAGGACTAGATTTGTAGCTAAGAGATGTCCAACTAGTTTTGTTGAGAAGTTTCTCAAGTGGGGCCAGCAGACAAAGCTGATCTTCTGGAAGGGAGATGTGCTTTAGTTTTGGGAAGGACAAGAGATATGGAAACAATGGGATTCACTGCTGAAGGGAAAAGGTCCTGGAACAAAGAGTCACAGTGAGGTTCCAGCATCATCTTGGCTTACCATATCACCCCCCACTCAAGGGATTTCTATCTTGAAGAGCCAGAGTCATGTGAAATTATAAGACAGAGGGAGCAGAAAGGACACTTGGCCTTGTCACATGGCCTAAAATGCCTGCAGGTCTCAAACCTATTTTATTTACAAGACTGCTTCTAGAGAGGCCAAAAAATAAGTGGAAAGAGGGCTAGCCTCAGCAGGGTTCAACTTCTGTCTGAAGCATAGACTTGCTATATGACTCTGGGCATGTCATTTAACTCTGAGAGGTTCAGTTTCCTTATCAATAAAATGAAGATAATAATGCACACACTACCAATAATCTCAACTGGTTTGTTATGAACAAAATGCTTTGTAAACCTTAAAGTTACTTGTAAACATAAATTTTTAGTATCATGATTAGGGATCAGAGCTTCAGAAAAAGGACAAAACCTTGGCATAGATACCTCTATAAATTGGCTATTGGCCTTTAAAGATAAATAGATCAATAAACTGGGCAGATGGTGATACCTCTCTTTTTAACCTAATGATTTACTTATCTGATGGCTGCTTTCTTCATTATTGGTTGCTAGCATATCAGAGCAGTTTTTGAGTCTAGCAAAGTGACAGACTGCACTTGTGTTTATTCTTTTATTACCAAGATTAATAATGGGAGGATGTTTTAAAAAGGATACATGTGGACTTCCAGGAGCCAAGATGGTGGAGTAAGAAGTAAGTCGATCTCACTCTCCCTTACTAACCTTGAAAATACTGGAAGAGTGGAGCCAGCAGAAAGACAGGGTATGGCAGTTTTTTAGCTTGTGAGGCTAGGGGGATTAATGGAAAAGGTTCCTCTTGCTGTGGCTCAAGGAGACCAGTACAAGACAGGAGACATCCCAGAAAGTCAGTGGCAAAGTCCCACCTCAGCAAACCAGCAGGAGATCCTGAGTCCCAGGGAGGTGGAGGGGGTAAGTGCCAACACCACGACCTCCTGTATGCCTTGACACAGCCAGGGGAATTGGTAGACACCAGGGCACAGAACCACCAACTGTGCAGCAGATGGGCTTTCACTAGTGGCTCAGCCTACCTGTGCTCTAGCACAGCCTTGGGTGAGGAGGTGACCTCCAGAGGCCAGACCACCCCTCTCCCCACACCCCATCCTGAGAGCTTCAGTGTAACCCCAGGGAAACGCAGAAAAACCCCACCTGGCCTCGACACACACCAGATACCACCACCAGCTTCAGCTCAGCACTAGGTAAGTTACAGCGTCTACAGCCTCCAGCTGCCAGAACCTAAGGCCCTAGCACACAAAGCCAGTAACCAGGCCCCTAGTCCCCTGAACAAGAAGTGTGGGACAGTGCCCCCTCTGTGCCCTAGAAGCAGAGATCAACTTTAAAAGCCAGGAAAAAGGCAAACCATAAACAAATAGCAACAAAGAAAAACAAAGACCATAGGTTCTTACTGCTACAAGTAAGTTATCTCTTACTTGGGTCAGTGTTCCCTGTGCTCTAGCAGAACTCAACTTTTTTTAAAAGTCTGGAAATAGGCAAACACCACAAGCAAGAAGCAGAAACGGACAGTGACCACAGATTCTTACTATGGGGACAAGGAAGATCAATGCACAAATTCAGAAAAGAACAACATTGTCAATATACTCACATCTGAAACCTTAAAGCAGAATATGAACTGATCTCAAGCCCAAAAAACCTTCTTGGAAGAGCTCAAGAAGGATTTTAAAAGTCAAATAAGAGAGGTGTAAGAAAATTGGGAAAGGAAATAAGAGGTATGCAAGAAAGACTCAATGCTTGGGAAAGGAAGGACAAAAACTGACTGCAGAAAACAAGTCCTTAAAAAGTAGAATTGGCCAAGTGGAAAAGGAGGCACAAAAGCTAACTGAAGAAAACAATTCGTTAGAAATTAGAATTGGGCAAGTGGAAGCTAATGACCCTATGAAACATCAAGAATCAGTCAAACAAAATCAAAAAAATGAAAAAATTGAAGAAAACATAAAATACCTTATTGGAAAAACAAACTGACCTGGAAAATAGATCCAAGAGAGATAATGTAGGAATTATTGATCTACCTGAAAGCCATGATGAAAAAAAGAGCCTGGACAGCATCTTCCAAGAAATCACCAAGGAAAACTGCCCTGGGGTCCTAGAACCAGAGGGTAAAATAGTCATAGAAAGAGTCCACTGGTTACTTCCTGAAAGAGATCCCAAATTGAAAATGCCAAGGAATATTATAGCCAAATTCCAGAATTATCAGGTCAAGGAGAAAATACTGCAAGAAGCCAGAAAGAAACAATTCAAATATCATGGAACCACAGCCAGGATTATGTAGGACCTTGCAGCTTCTACATTAAAAAATCAGAGAGCTTGGAATGATATTCTGTAAGGCAAAGGAGCTTGGATTACAACCAAAGATCAACTATCCAGCAAAATTGACCATAATCTTTCAGGCAAGGAAACGGACATTCAATGAAACAGGGATTTCCAGAACTTCCTGATGAAAAGACCAGAGCTCAGTGGAAAATCTGATCTTCAAATACAAGACTCAAAAGAGCCATAAAAAGGTAAACAGGAAAGAAAAAACAAAATGCTATTCAAAAAGGGCAAACTGTTTATATCTCTATACGGGAAAATTATACTTGTTAACTCTTGAGAACTATATTTTTATTATGACATTTAAAAAGGATATACATAGTCAGAGGATGTGGGTATAAGTAGACTTTGATGTGATGATAAAAAACCTAATTAAGGGGTGAAAAGGGATATTAATGGGAGAAGAAGAAAGGAGGCAGAAAAGGGTAAATTACATCACATAAAGAGGCATAAAAACATTACAGTAGAGGGAAAGAAGGGAGGGAGATAAGCATTGTTTGAACCTTACTCTCATGGGATTTTGCCGAAGGGGAGAATAACATACTCAGGTATAGAAATTTAACTTGCACTACAGGCAGTAAAAGGAGAAAGGGGAAAAAAAAGGAAGGAGGTAGCTAGAAGGGAGGGAAGAAGTACCAAGGGAAAAGAACGAAAAGGGAGAAGGCTGATAGAATGGAGGGAAGATTGAGGGAGGCTGTGCTCAAAAGCAAAACTCTTTTGAGAAGAGAAAGGAGAAAGAAAAGCATAAACAGGGGTAAAATAGGATAGAGAGAAAGACACAGATAGTAATCATAACTATGAATGTGAATGGGATGAACTCTCTTATAAAATGGAAACGGATAGCAGAGTGGATTAAGAACCATAAGCCTACAATATGTTGTCTCCAGGAAACACATTTGATGCAGAGAGATACACATAGAGTAAAGGTAAAAAGCTGGAGCAGAATATATTATGCTTCAGCTGAAGTAAAAAAGCAGGGGCAGGGTGATCTCAGACAAAGCAAAAGCAAAAATTGATCTAATTAAAAGAGATAGGGAAGGAAACTATATCCTGCTAAAAGGCACCATAGACAATGATGTAATACCATTATGAAACATACATGCACCAAGTGGTATAGCACCCAAATTCTGGCAAGAGAAGTTAAGGGAGTTACAGGAGGAAATAGACAGCAAAACTATACTAGTGGGGGACCTCAACATCCTCCTCTCTGAACTAGATAAATCTAACCACAAAATATACAAGAAAGAATTTAAAGAGGTGAATAGAATTCTAGAAAAATTAGATATGGTAGACCTCTGGAGAAAACTGAATAGGGATAGAAAGGAATATACCTTTTTCTCAGAGGCACATGGTACCTACACAAAAATTGACCATGCACTAGGGCACAAAAACCCCATAATCCAATGCAAAAAGACAGAAATATTAGATGCATACTTTTCAGATCATGATGCAATAAAAATTATATGTAATAAGGGGCCATGGAAAGATAGACTAAAGATTAATTGGAAACTAAATAATCTAATCCTAAAGAATGAGTGGGCCAAACAACAAATCACAGAAATAATCAATAACGCCATAAAAAAGAATGACAATAATGACACAACATACCAAAACTTTTGGGATGCAGCAAAAGCAGTTCTTATGGGAAGTTTTATATATCTAAATACTTACATGAATAAAATAGAGAAAGAGGAGATCAATGAATTGGGCATGTAACTAAAAAAGCTAGGAAAAGAACAAATTAAAAAGATGTATTTGTAGATATATCTTTTTGAAAAGGAAAAAAGTTCAATTCAATTCAAACATTTGTATTTCATAAGCATTTGCATGGGGGAAGTATATATTGGTTGCTGTTGTTCAGTCCTGACTGACTCTCTGCAATTCCATTT